TAGCAAGGCTTGCTTGTGAAAAAAGTTCGATTGATTCTACGCAGTAGTTTTTGATTGGTGCCCTATCAAATATGAAAGTGAAAAGCAGCATTTTCGGCATATTTTACTTTTTTACTATCGAAAAGGTAAAAATGCTGTTCAAGCAAGAAAAAAATTATCCGATGTGTATGGAGAAGATGTATTGACAGAACGCCAGTGCCAAAACTGGTTTGCAAAATTTCGATCCGGCAATTTTGATGTTGAAGATGCACCACGTTCTGGAAGGCCAGTTGAAGCTGATGAAGACACAATAAAGGCATTAATTGATGCAAACCGGCGAATAACAACTCGTGAGATCGCTGAGAGATTAAATTTATCGAATTCGACCGTTCATGATCATTTGAAACGCGTCTGATTGAAAATCGTCTTTCATTTTCATATGAAAAAACGAAATTACTTTCCGAACAATAGAATGAGGTATGTACAATTTCGAGCGTGATACAATTACGAACGAAATAAAATAATCCAATTTTCGAGGTTCAAGTTTGATAACCTTGATCTTATCGTGTGAGAATGGGGAATATTGGAGACACCAAACAGAAAAGAATCAAATTTAAACTTCGAAAATTTGATTGAAATTTTATTTCGTTCGGAAATGTTCGAAATTGTACTATTTTAATTTTGAGAAAATATCTCAGCTGCATGAAAAAAAAAAAGGAAATAAGTTGAATTATGCTGTGTGTGTGTGTGTGTGGGGCAGATCGTATAATTCAATATACAGTCACACGTTTCCATGTTACATAAGGAAAAAATTCTAGATATATGAGTTTTTAAATACAGAAACGTCAGCGGTACACAATAGACGGTCTAATTAATAATGAAAACGTGTATGTAATTGCTGTTACACTTGTTTGTCTGAGCTCCTTTATAAATGATTCTTCGCTACATCTGTGAAATTAACAAAAATTTCGCGCTTAATCAAATTCTTGATATGACAAATGTATGAGACCCGACCTCTTTTTTTCTTTTTTTTTTCTTCTTCGTATTTCTCTTCTTACAGTTTTTCTGGATAAAAAACGACGTCCGCAGTAAAATGGAAAATTGCACCGATTCGATCGCGTGGGCTGCTCGAAGTAACGACTTCTCTCCTCGACCTTTAATTTATCTAATTAAAACTCAACTCGTATAAAACCCACTAACAGCGTTTTCGACGTGCAGAAGATTATGAAAAGTTTGTTTATTGATGGAAATCTATTTGAAAAATCAAATGAGAATGTTACGCAATTAATTTAAAAAATCTAGAGTTAAAATAATCTATAAGAATGCAAAGTAATTATTGCAAAAAGATTAAAGTTCATCGTTGACTTTGATTTTTACATATAATTAATAAAACGAAATAACGTCTTATTTCTGCGACATATATAAATTAAAAACCACCTCACTTGTTCTCCTGCCTAGAGGCGCAAAACTTTCCACACGAAGCGAGGACTACCCCATCTCCTCTCCTGTCCAGGGGTGGACTCGCTTCGCATGGAAAATCATCCGCCCCTAGGCAAAAGGGGGAGATGGGGTGGACTTTGCTTTGTGCATGGAAAGTCCTGCGTCCCTTGACAGGAGGAGAGATGGGGTGGACCTCGCTTTGCGTGGAAAGTTGTGCAACCTTAGAAATAAGACGTTTTATATCTGAATTTAAACTGAGTTTGTTTATTTTTTTTTTGTCAATTTTACTTTTCTTTATTTGTAATTTATTTTTTTTAATTGTATGACAATTTAAAAAATGTGTTTGACTCTTACTTTGCCTTTTATTTATTGTTATTTATTTCATATTCTTATTATCGAAAACACATCGTAATTTTACATTTATTATTAATTCTTCCTTGTTTATCGGCTCGTTTAAATAAATTTGAAAAATTACGGGAGAATGTAGTGCAATTAATTTTAAGTGGAGTTGAAATAATTTCTAAAAATACAAATTTCTTTGTGAGATATAAATTTCATATTTTTTTGTTATGAAAATATTTTACATTAATTATTAAGTTCTCCATATTGTATATTGACGCGTTTAAGTAACGTAATTTTTTCAAATTATACGAAAAGCGTAGCGCAACTAATTTTAAATCCGGGAATGTTGGAAAATAATCTCTAAGAATATAAATTTCTTCGCGAATATAAAATTTTCTCTCTCTTGTTATCGAAATATAATTCTACATTATTTATTAATCCTTCTATATTAATTCGTTTAAATAACGTAAATATCCATTTTCTTTTCGCCTTGAACTATTTCCCGGCTAACTTTCAAAACTACGTGTCACGCATGACTTTCTATTAAATAATATGTATATTAAATGATCAACAGTACTTTCTATCGAGATAGTACGAGATAAAAATCGATCGTTAATGCGAATAATAGTCATCGAATAATATAACGTAATTTCTTCTTGTCATACGATATATATATTATAAGATATTCTTCTGAATGCGGCGCTTTCCTTGACAAATTGTCCGGCACATTTTCTGAGAGCTTCGCCATCTGTCACGCGCGAGAAAAACGCGTAGAAAGTTGAAACTCGGAGGGAATCGCGCGTCCTGATGGCGATGCCCAGAAGCATTCTCCGTCGAATCGTCGACGGAGTCGTAGGATGTTGACGGTAAAATAAATAAGTGATTCCGCGATTTTTCTTTCATAGAGCCACGGTACGATAGAGAAGGAGTCCCGAGCGGGTTCCGACCTAGTGTTCTCAACTTGGAGAATGTGTGTGACCGACACTGTCGCGCGTCGCGTCGCGTCGCGGCGTCCGTCGTGCTGTTTTGAAGTGCGCGGAACGCGCATGCGCGTTTATAGACCCACATAATCAAGAAACCAGCAACCGCATTCCTTATACACGTACTAATGAACCGTCTCACTATGGTTGTTTCCCCCTTGCGCACACGAGGTCTTTCAATTTTCTCGCTCACTGTCCATCCGGCTGTCTTGAGTGACCCCGCGTGATGTATATCTGGTCACAGAGCATGAAGGAAGAGACGTAACTAGGAAGAGAAAAGGAACGAGAGATGCAACTGATGTGTGAACCTGGCACACAATTCTAACAAGAATAAAAATGGATACGTAGTACGCGTTTGTATTTCGTTTCGACGGCTTATTATTTCATTCGTATACCTCAAAGAGTAAAAATGTAAGTAAAAAACAAAAAATGGCCAGCGCGCAACGATAATATTTTTTAATTTCTTCGTTTATGTCATTCGAATGAGAATCGCTTTTATCCATTTGTATTTATTTTTCTTTGTATCGCAAGGGGTTCGAATATACAGCATTTTTCAAATTTTTGAAAATCCGACATGAGGATAAGTCGGCCACTTTAAAAGATATCGAAAAGGGACCTATGGCATTCGAAAGAGAATCCTACCTCAAAGAATTTGGTTCAAACAGATATTGTATAAACGAAGTACGAACGCACTACGGTGTCCATTATTTTTATAGTTGAACGTCAGGCTAATTCACATTAGAACATCTCGCGCTGTGATGAAGATGTTAAAAAATATTTATTAAAATATTGAAGCTACTGCGAGATGCGTCTCTCTTCAAGAGTAGTCATAAATGATATTTAGAAAATAATAATGCCTGGAAAAAAACGATATTTGTTAGATATTATTTCTGTCAAAAATAACAGCCCCAGTAGCACACGTTGGTTTTATATACGTTCCTTAAACGTTTGTAGAACATTAGATACGTTTAGGAAATATGTTATATATAAAACGTATATGAACCAATAGATGCTACCTGGGAGAAATTCTAATGAGAAAAAGACAGAACAAAGATGTAAGCAAGAACGAAGATGTACATAATATAAGAAACGTACATGCGTGACGAAATGCCGCTAAAATATGAGGAAAGTAATGTAAATCTCTCTCGCATTCTTACCGCGGTGATCCATAGCCTCAAGCAATGGCCCAAATGCCTGACATACATAACGTGCGTAGCTGCACTACCTAAATACTTGTACAAAATTCTATTAGTTTCCGACTGAAAGATTTTGTCGTTTACAAACGTGTATTACATACATTATTTATGACTTCTGTAATTGCTTGAATTATGATATTGAATTATGGTATTGCTTTCTGAATTTGACGATTGATTGAAGAAAATTATAATGCCCAAGATACTCGAAGACTTGAAACGACAACAGTGTTTAACAAAAAGTTATTTTTTTTTTTTTTTAGCATAAAAACGAAATCGTTTTTTTTTAGCACTGCAAAAAGTGTCATCAAAATTCTTCAAAATTGCATGAAAGGTTATTATAAAGGTTATTATATTTTAATATATATTAGTATATAATATATTATATCATTATTGTGATATGTATTGAAGAAATTTTATTGAAATCAAAATTAAGTATGTTATTATAGGATTTTTAGCTCTTAAAAGGAATTTATTGTGTTGATAATAATTACGTATTTGTAATTAATATTAAAGTTTAAGAGTTGATGATTTATATAAGCTATTAAGGATCTATCAAATATTTTTCAATTATGTTATACAAATTTGTAAATTTTTCCGTAATAAGTGATAATAAACGATTTATTAAGACCGTATAATATGAATAGACAACAAGTAAGGGAAAAGTTAAAAGGCACTGCCAACCCCATTATAACCAGCGCTGTAATTCAGCGCAAACTTTCTGCCGCTGCTTTCGAAGCTTTCGAGTAGTAAGATTCCGGAGTTTATATCGAGCGTAGTAGTAAGGTTCTTATAACATCTAAGTTTGGCGTTATAACATCAAGAAAAACTTCAAAAAATTTAATAAATCGAGCAATTTCAAACTTGAGACGTAGATTCGTTTAGGCTTTAAAAAATATGGCGCAGCTTTTACGATATTTTTGTAAGAGATCGATTTTTTGTTTAATCTAAGCTTATTATTAAAGAATAATTTTGTATTCTGACACACGTTTGTCAAAAACTTGAATGATGCGCTCGATTTGGATAATAAAGAATAAACGAATAAATCGCATTTTATCAATTGCAGCAGCCATAGAATGTATCGAATCCGAGACGGGATGCAGGAGGTGCAGAGACGGGACGTGTGCCAGATGCGCTGTGTTGTTACATCAGGGTACTTGTGTGCACACCTGCCCATCGGGCTTCGTCTCCGACTGGTCCACCCGGGACGAATACATGGGTCGTGTCTGTCGAGAGACCGGCTACATGTTCGGCCTCACCGGTAGCCAGGTCGCGATTTTGGTAGGGGTGGTCTCCGGTACAACTATCTGTATCTTCATCATCCTCTGCGGCGCGATAGTCGTACACCGACGTAAGAAGAAGGCGGTGAAGCTGGCCCAGCAGTTTGAGGACAGGTATTTTTTTCAATTTTCTTTTTTACTCTATCACTTATTTACGCGCAGTGATTCATTGACCGTTCTTGTGCATTTTAGCGCAGAGAGGAGAGAATTTCTGAAACACCTAGCGACGCTCCGTGGAGAGGCCAATACTTTCCTCGCTATGCTCAACGATACTAGAAGACAGGTCAGAGAGTTGTACTACTCGGGAAATAACGGAGACGGTGCCGTCGGAATCCAAGCGTATAGGTACAAATACAGTAGAAAAATTAGGCCATCGCATACTTTTCTAATGTTAATCCATTAAGAGTCGTTGTAGCAAAAATTAATTTGTCAAATATTAAATAAAATATTGTAGAAAAATGTACTAGAAGATTGGACACTTCCAATAGAAATTATGCTAATATGTTTCTGTAATAAATCTCTTGTGAATATCTCTCTTTTCAATAAAAATCTATTGAAAATTTAATGAGCTCTTATTAATCTTTATTGATATTGATACAGACCAGTGCTACGTGACCTGGCGAGGATACTAGTTCTCGTGAATAGGAGAGACGATGAGATACCACTTCCGCCCGACGATTGGCAACGACTATTCTCATGGGCAGAGCGGCTATTGAGAAGATATAAAAGGCATAGTTCTCCAGAAGTAAGATTGTTATGACAAATATTTCTACTTGAAGTGAAAACGACAAATGAGCGCTATCAATATCATCTTACACTTTCAATTCTTTTTCACGCTAGTCCCTAAAGCACTTTGGTGAGTCACATACCCAACTGTATGCAAAAAGCATAGCATTAGAGAATTCCCCGCGTAAAAGCTCCCTTCTCTCTTTGAACGGCAGGCTGTTTTTCTTTTTTTATAAAACGTGTACGAAACAACATTGCCGAACTGTATATTATGCATTACCCTTTTATAATTTAAAGGTGGCTCAGCTCGTGACATTCCTGCAACAGCCGACGAGCAACCCCGTCCAAATGACCTCGTTATCGGCGCAATCGGTCACGACATCGCAACCACCACTTCATCAACCCGTATACGAACCGAGAAGCACCCCCACTAATCTCACCACATTCCAAGCGAACGTGCCTCTCGCGACGTTCCAAGCGAGCGATAAATCGAGCATCAGTCCAGCGAGTTCGAGCCTCGGCTACACAAAGGACAGCAGTCCCCTCGGTTCGAGTTTGGGTCAAAACAGTGCTTTCGGTATTTACAGCAGTGAAAAGTTCAGCCCGAACGGCTCGACAATCGGTCAAACGACGCCTCTCGTCTACGGAAATAATCTGAAGCGAACAGGATCGAGGGCGACGAGTGACTGTCAAGAATTGCAGACCATCTCTGCGTTTAATCGCAGTTATAATGGCACGCTGCCCTTGGAGACCAACAACATCCGTGCGTTACACGACGAGTGCGCAGTCAACGATGGTTTAGACCGCGACTTGAATCCTCAATGGAAGTTTCAGAGTAGCCCCGTAGAGGCGGCCAATTACACCATTCTGTCGGATTGGTCGCCAGCTCATGATTATCTCATCGACGATTTCACAATTCTCGGTTTTCGGCCGCAGGACGAAATCACTACGGAATTGTAGTATCGACTGATAGTGAAATACATAACGAGATCCAAACAAGACTTGTAAAGGAAGAGAGAGTTACAAATGCTTGCGCATTTCAAATACCGTCAAATACCGTTTTCAAACAATATTTCAAAAATCCTCAACAATCTTCTTTGACAATCCTGTAACGGTACTTTGCATTGCATTAACGAGATTTATTAATTGTGTTATTCATGAAAAAGGATCGTATGAAATAAATTCTATCTGCTACATTTGACAATCTATGCGTGTTGGTCGATAATGCGATATCGACGTATATTAGGTTTGCTTTTTATTACTGCACTCTTGGAATATATGAAAATGGTATATAGCTAATTGGCGCTCTTTCTAACATATATCTGTCCTCGTCTGTTTATTTTATTGCGATGCGCATGCGTCGATCTACAGTTTTGAAAATTCTTTATTATTATAAAAGTGTGTATCGCGTGTAAAGTTAGGCAACTGTATGCCATTATTATCTAGTCTAGTGCAAGCGCAAACAGATTTTAAATAGATAAGGACAGACATATATTGGATATTTTTGCTATATTATTCAGATTGAATGGCACTTCCAGTTTATTCTAAGGCTGCACTGAATTGCAATGGAATTTTTTTCTTGTTTTCGATAAATTTAAACATATATTTGTTTTATTTCAAATCAATACGCTAATTCAGCTATAAAAAATAGACTTATTTCTTAATTATCGATAATATTGATAATTACGAAATATATGAGTAATAAATAATCCTACGATCAATACGAAATACAGACAAATATCGTTAAAAATACGAAGAATTCTCATTAAATTAAAGAAATCGTAAAGAAAAAAACAATCAAAAATTTACCGCTTGTAAAATTTGTAAATTTGAATAAACTTGAATTTTCCAGTGTTTTCTTCAGATCACTGTAACGTGAAATGTTGAATACGAATGATATGTTTTTATAAAATGTAAATGTTTTTATAAAATCTTGAATTTCTATGAAACAGTAATTATGTTTTAATTAAAGTCTATCTTTAAAGAACATATTCAAGTACACTGTGCAATAAGGAAGGTAAAATGATACCAAATTGTGTACAAAAATCTTTGTACAAACATGATCTTTATTTAATTTCTCTGTATCGTACACATCTAATAACAATTATTTTATATTATATAGTGTACTAGTCAATGTTTCCGTTTGTTCACATCGAAATGTAGAAGTGTATCTTTATGACTTTCATACATCCGCATTTACATAGTTGATACAATTTTTATTCTCGTGACAAATTTTTAATTATACGCAGGGTGGGAAAGTTACTTTATAAAACCGGTATCGTTTTTTCTGAAAAATAATTCGTTATCATTACTCTTTCGTTGTTTCTTTGAAAAGGAACTTGTCAGTCATCATTATCGTTACTCAAAAAATAATGACTCGTTACAATTTTTGTTATTTTTTCACCGAATTTTAATAATCTTTTTTTTTTTTAGAGTGGCATCCAATTGTCTTGGTCACTAATTTACTAATTTAACACGATTTACTGGTTATAATGATTGTGATTAATCGCAACATGATCAAATATAACAAAATATAACATTTTCTTCTTTTTAACTCTCTTATACATGTTTCATATACATGTATTGTGTACAAAATAGCGATTACATTCGCTACCATTATAAAAAAGAAGTAATTGCGTTATTAACGTTACAAATAAGGAAAATTAACATAATCATTACTGGAAAAAAATAATTGTAACGGTAAGGACGTTACAAGTAACGCATTACTTTCCAACCCTGCAAATTTGTATGCAATTATTAATGTCAATGAAGTTGAATATCACATGATTCGCAAGAGTGCGCATTATATTTATTTATACATTGCATTTTAAGAATTCACGTTCCACTCAAGTTACCATAACAATGCAAACTTGACAACAAAGTGGAAAGAAACGAATCATACAGCTGCAATTTTATTCACATAAACGAATACACATAAACACGCTAAACATACAGTGTTTAAGTTGAACGTGTCATTATATATACGTATGACCAAAACGGTCACTTGTACAAATTGATGTAAA